CCCCCACACACACACCATGCAACCAATTGTCTTTTGGCCTGCAGAGACGATCATGGGATCGGATAAGGCAGACTGACATCTTAGAGGTGAGTAGAAGTGAAAGAGTCCAGCCTTGTAGGCAATGAAGTGCCATCTCAGGGTAGAATGCATACCAAAACACGGAAATTGTTGATGTCAAGGAAGATTCATTTCAAGAAGGGGAAAAGAAAGCAATGTAAATTCTACAGAGACCAATTAGGATAAGGACCTTTTAAAAAGGAATAGATTTGGCCACACAAAAGGCCGGTGAGGAGATGACTACTAACGTGAGCTGGGAAATACTTTCAGGGACTAAAAGTGATTTTCTGCTGAGACTTCTCCCTCCAGTTCATTTCTAGCATGGAAGGGCAACCTCTGTATCCTTCTCTTCATCTCTCTCTGTCTCTGGGTCTCTTAATTTAAAAAATATTTTTAAGGTAAAGTATTTTCTGGGCTCTCAAGCCCCTCTATCTTGCTAATTCATGCCTTTCCCTTCTCCCATTTAGGAGAGACACAAATCCAGGCCCTTCTGAGAAGGCTACTGATCTTGAGCTGCAAAATACTGCTTTCGCACACCACTGTTTCCATTTTTTAAAATTAAAATATGAAGCTTTTTATTGTCTTTTCTATTTTTAATCTTTTTCTTTCCTCTTCTGTTTTTCTTTTATCTTCTAACTTCATCCCTTGGCTGTTCCACCTCAATGCACTGAGTGTCTAGACATGTCTAAGGGAACAGTATCTAAAGATATGAATACTATTAGGGTCAGAATATTCCTCAATTCCCACTGAATCTGACACACAAAGGATGAAAAGTGGAACAGAAGAGTGATTGCAGGTCACCTCCTCCTGCATGCCTCTGAACACTGAGATTGAGCTGCAAGAATTAGGAAGAAATGCACAACCCATCAGATGACCAGAAATCACCACAGGGGCGCAAGAAATAAGAAAGCAAGAATACCTCTCCTCTAAGGGAGAAGAAAACTCCTCTCCATCCACACACAGTACAAAGGAATTCACAGAAATGTCTGATAAAGAATTTAAAGTATTCATAGTGACAAAGATAACAGAGATGCAAGAAGAGAGAGACAGTGAACTCCAGAAGACACAGGAGGAAAGAGCCACGAGTTCCAGGGGGTGAGGAAGTTCTTACAAGATCTCAAAGAGGAAATACACACAATAAAAAAGAATCAAATGGAACTGTTAGAGATGAAGGTTTTAATACAGGAAGTCAAAACCTCCCTTAAAAGTATTAAAAGCAGACTACATCATACAGAAACTCAAATCTCAGATATACAAGACAGAATCACTGAATCAGAAAAATCCATCATGAAGACAGTAAATAGCCCCCAAAAAGAGAATAATATACAAGAAATACTAGATCCCATTAAATGTCCAAACATCCAGATAATTGGTATCCCAGAAGGTGAAGAGACTAATCACGGCATTGATAATCTATTCCATGAAATCCTGGAAGAAAACTTTCCAAACCTAGAGAGGCATTCAAATATCTACACCCAAGAAATACAAAGGACCCCAAATAGAATCCAACAAAGAAGATCTCCAAGACACACTACAGCCAGATTGACCAAAAACCACAGACAAAGACAAAATACTAAGATTGGTAAGAGAGAAACAGCAAGTTACCTACAAAGGATATCCCATTAGGCTCACAAAGGACCTCTCATTGGAAACAATGCAAGCAAGGAAAGATTAGGAAAATCAATGCAAAGTGTTAAGAGAAAAGCGATTTCAACCAAGAATACTATACCTCGCAAGATTATCCTTCATATAGGAAGAAAAGACAAGAACAATCTCAGATAAACAAAACCCGAAAGATGTACTGACACCAGACCAGCTCTCCAAGTTCTGAATGGAGTGCTATGCCAGGAAAACCAAACACAGATGTGCACAGAAGTTCCAAAACAATGAAGAAAAGGGCAAAGTTAATGGTAGGGACAGGTCTGGAGTTGACTGTTATCTTCCAGAATTTAAACGGAAAGATCCGACCACAACAGAAGATGAAGTACAAGGGACTGAGCTGGTGAAATAGAATCTTGTGACTTTTGACTAAAACATTACTGATTTTCTTCTATGCTTTGTTTTCCAGATTTAAGGAATTTTGTCTTCTCTTGAGCTGTCCATTGGTTCGTGTACCTACTATTTGAACAGAATCCTAACCTGTTTCCTGGCTTTAAGTAAAACTCTCTTAGCATTTTTAAAAATTTTGATTTACTAAAGCTAAAACTGCTTCTCCTGAAATTAAAAAATGTATTTAAAAATCCCCATTTAATGACTGCAGTAAGCTATACAGTATCAGCTAGGTGCTACTTTATAGTATAGTCATTCTACTCAGAGCTTCACGCCTAAAGTCAGACATGTGTTCACAGATATGGATACACCAGCTGCACTTGCTATTAAAGATATTTTGTGAATCAATAAAATGTGGGGGTGGGGGAGGAATTGAAAGCAACTGTAGATACCAGAGACAGAGTGGGAGGAGGGTGGGAAAAGGCAGAGGATGAGAAATAGGGGGAAATATATATATATATATATATACACACACATATATATAC